TTGCCTAAATCCTGAAATTATATCTACCATATGGCTGGCTTCTATAACTAACTGTCCTAATGGTTTTACTACTGATAATCATAGCTGTGCTAACAACTGTAACTGAAATAACTTGGAGAAGATTGTACCATGGTGCCTATATACAATGTATAACAACAAATAAAGGCCAACATCTTTCAACATATGCATCTCTGCTCCTGCTGAAGCTATTTACACAAGACTTGTTCTGTGCATACACTGATACGAGGGTCACTCAATAAGTTATCTACCTGAATCTACCTGAAAGAAACATCCGAGGGGAAAAATAACACTTTATTTTTCAATGTAGTCACCTTTTAACTCAACACACTTATTCCACTTTGATTCCAAGGATTTTATTCCCTGGGAATAGAAGTCAACTTCTTGTCCATCAAACCAATCAGAAATGGCAACTTTCAGCTCTTCATTGCATGGAAATCTTTTTCCCTGCAAAAATTTTTTCAAGTGTCTGAACAGAAAATAGTCACTAGGAGCCAGATCCGGGCTGTAGGGAGGATGGTTGAGCTCCTGAAAGCCACACTCCCTCACTGCTGCCTGAATTTTCCATGATTTGTGGACGGGCGCATTGTCATGGAGAAGAAGGACCCCCCTTGACAACTTTCCTCGATGGCATCGTGTAAATTTTTCATGGTGGTAGCATAGGAATTGCCAGTGATTGTACACTCGTCTGGCATGAACTCGAGCAGCAGTAGTCCCTCGCTGTCCCAAAACACAGTGGCCATAATCTTTCCTGCAGATTTCTGAACACGAAATTTGCAAGGCATTGGCGATTCCTTGTGCTTCCACTGCATGGACTCCTGCTTGGTTTCGGGATCCCAGTGATGAACCCAAGTTTCATCACCAGTTACTATTCTGGGAAAACAGAAAACAGGGAAACTCCAAGTTTTCCTTGCAGATGTCAGATCTGTTCTTCTGAGGTGGAGTCAGCATTCTTGGGACCCATCGAGAACTGACTTTGGACATGAGTAATTTTTCATGAATAATGTGAATCACTGTGCCCTCTGAAATCCCCAGTTCATGAGCTAAAACAGAGACTTTGGTGCGACGATCCTCCAGTATCGCACTCTCCAATTTGTCACACATTTCCTGATCAGAAGCCTCCACAAGGCGCCCTGACCTTGGGTCATCTTCAATTAGCTCACTTGACCTAATTTGGCATCAATGCAGAGAATTTGCTCAAACCTCATTCTTGTTTTTCCTTGATTTGCATCAGAGAAGGAGGCAGGTGGGCTCTAGTCATTCTACAATGACTCCAATCACTTAAACTATTTATTTTCTATTTCCAGCTCCTTTTGAATAACTGCTCTTAGCTTTGTGTTGAAAATACCACCAGATGAATTTTTGAAGGTATGTTTGAAACTTATCAGTTTATGCCCAGTATAGTTGTCATGAAAATAGCTTCAGCAGGAGCAGAGGTGTTTAAGTTGAAAGTCATTGGTCTTTTTTTTTGCCAGACCCTGTAGATTTGTGCTGTATTGAATGATACTATCAGTATCATTCAATACAACACAAATCTACCCATATATCTATTCACACATTAAAATACTTCCAAGATATTTTGGCTCTGTGCATTGACTGATATCAATACCAATTATATGTCTTACTTATCACTGATGAATTAAAAGTATCTGTACTCAGCATACTCAGTGTGCATATTCATCTTTTGTTACACGGACATGACTGGTAATCAAGTTTTTCCCCCAAGTTGCATATGAACATTCATGGAGGCAAATCTTATTTCAGGGACCTTGAAGAGAAATTTCCAACTTCAGAAATCACATGGGACACGTTAGCTCGGCGAGCTCTTGAGAAAGACAACTACAAGGACCCACCAAGCCTCAAAGATAGGCTCAGGCATTGCTGGGATAAATATGAAGAGGGGTTGAAGGCAACAGAGGGAAGTGAGACCATGTGGTCTTATTATGTGGAGACCTGCATGGAGATGATACATGCCTCACCGAAGCTCATGGATATCAAGCAAACCCATGCCATCCAGGTCATGAGGAGAGCTGAGAGTGAAGGCAAACTGCCAGAGAGATTCTACTCTGATCTGGTATGCTTCAACTGCTTCCCATTCTTTTATGCTAACTTTTCTGGTCTTTATATTGGCTCAAATGCTTCTTGATGTTTGGTTCTCTTCTAAAATATTGAGGAGTGTCTCTGTGAATGATTTTAATTTTCATAAATCTTCATGCTTCAGGACTAGCAGTCAGTCACTACTTCTCCAATTTGATAGATATCAGTGTTTTCCTGAAATAATGTTATATATCTCCTTTCTAGTACCCTTACTTTTATGTCCTTTTGTGAATGCAGCATTTCATTGACAATGATTCAATGAAATTTATTTGTATAAGTGCTTATATTGGAGTAATGTGGTTGTATGGGCCTTAGGTAAGGCACCTTGATCCATGGGAAGGAGTGAAGGTTATCACCAGGGGGAACCAAAGTTATGCCAGCAGCCTCACTCTCTGGGACCTCCATATTCAGTTACTACTCGACATGATCCGTCACAAGGAAGCAATCCAAGTGTTTTGGGAAGCAATAGTACACCTTTCAAAGTCAGAAATACCAAAGTTGTGGGATTCCCTCTCATTGGCCTTGAAGTCATGGGAGTCAAACTCTGATGTGGAAGCTCTGTTTTGCAAGGCCCTAAAATCTGAGACACTGGCCAAGCATGTGAAGGCTGAGTTCCTGCAGTGGACTTCCCAGCACAAAGGTATGTATTCATGACTGTAGCTGAGCTGTAAGCTGTATATGGATGTAGCTGGGCTAAAAGATTGAGGGCTTTCATTGATTCACCTTGAAGTCTAAGAAATATCAATACTAATGGATATTGAATTCATTGAGAAAAGAAGCTAGAAATTGTATTCTTAGTGTCTTTGGGGTATAAGACTTTATGACTGAGCATATAAAAGCATGCTGACCTCACTCTAATATAATTTTTCATTTGGCATTCTGGCTGTGAAAGAAAAAAAAAATTATTGATACTGTTTCAGGGGTGAATGAAGCAAGAAGACTATATAAAGAACAGGCTTACATGCCACCATTCTGTCTCCAGTTTCACTTGCAAATGATCAACATTGAAGGTGCACAAGAGAAACCAAATGCAGCCAGGATCCGCAAGCTATTTGAAGCAGCATGTGATCAGTTTGGCAAGACTGATGCAGGTAAGGCCCAAATCAATATCATGAGCTCTGGAGAATTTAAGAACCAATGCATGTAAAAATGGGGCTAGTGACAGCAGTAGAGGTCTCTAATTTTAATGGAAGTAGGAGCATTCATTCCCAATAGTCTACAAGGAATCCTGAATTTGTGTGGCTATGATGGCCTAGGTGTGCATAAAAGCATCATGCTAACTCCTAAACCATTAGGAAGTTTCCACAATTTCTTACATGATACTTCAGTCCAACCAGATTTTTGTGAAAGTTAATGTGGAAAAGAATGCTATAAAACTACTTCCACCAAGGTAATTTCATATGAGAACAACAAAGAAGTTCCTATAAGTTGTCTTTTGTCAAAGTTTTTGCAAAAACGTTTATTTTTATTTTATATTATTGGATCAGCTTAAACCTGTTGAACTGCATTTCTCATTTTCTGCATTTTCACAACCTTCCACAAACCAGTTTTACTGGGCTTACTAGATGTAAGAAAAAAAAATTATACTATCAGGATAAGTTTTGAAGGATAAGCAAACACAAGGACAGGTTTAGTCAAAAGTGCATGTTACTCAATTCTCATATTACAGGTTTCTTGATTTTAAACTGTTGCAACAAATAATTGGAAAGATTTATGAGAAGCCAAGATGTCACATCTTGGCTTCTCATAAATCCTTCCAATTTCTTTTCAACTTCTTGGAAGACTTAGTGAACCCTTCCACTGCCATGAGTTTATATATATGCCCACCACATCTAAGTGCTAAGTCCATAGTGCAATATGTGTAAATAAACCAAGTGTTCATCTCACATTGATTCATAACCTTGACCACAAAGGTAAGTATGCAAAATTCAAATTAATAAACCTGGCAACAGCCTGAAAATATGCAGTATGGGGGAGGGGGGGCTACTGCCAGTCAAAATAAAACTCACCAGCTGAAGGTTTAAAAGGGGAATTTTTATTGTTAGATATTGAGCTCTATGTATGAGTAAGGCCAATGAATACCATTGCTTAAAATTGCACTTATTTCATCATCCATTAAGGAGTTACAGGGAAAGAAAATGAAACTAGTGGCATGTTCTTGAAGGAAAGGCAGTATGTGATGTGTTGAGATTTCACCCTGCTTCATCTTCCCAAGAGGTCATGCGATGTTAGTAAAGGTTAACCAGTCACATCCTCAGGTCTAAGGGGTTCTTCATTTTAGTGATTCTGGCTTCTTATTGCAGATAATCATAGACCAGAGGTAGTAATCGCTGCCTTGCTCACTGTTGGCAGGGCAAGTTATATTTTAAAACTTTCAGCACAAGAAAATGAAGTGGATTCTTTTTTGCCTTTTTGTTTCAGTTGACTGGTTTTTTTTTCCAATTCTGCCTTGCTGCTGGAAAGTCTTTATTTTTACTTTCCTGAGAGAGGTTTATTGGTAAAGTTGTTAAAATGCAGTATGCCAAAAAAAATTGGGAGTGGTAGATGCATAAACCAAGGCAACATGTTGAGAAAATTTTGAGGATTTCACATGAAGTCCAAGGAGCCAATGTTGCATTATTTGTATAAATTTAATGCAAACCTACTTTTTTGCATACAGCCATCTTGCTTAGTGCTTCACCATTCCACCAAATACCTTTTCAGATTTGTGGCTGCAGTACCTGAAATGGGAGGAAGAGAAAGGGAATCCAAACCGTGTTGGTCATCTTTACTCAGTGGTACAGAAGACCCTGGAGCCTAATAATTTTCAAGAATTTTTGACCCACCATACATTAAAACGAATCAAATCATGAATTTATCTCTGTTCAAGTAATTAATAAAATCCATTTGAAGATGTCAAATACATTTGATTTTATTAGTGTAATACACATCTCCAAGAATTCACAACTGATTTTATCACAGAGATCAAAGCTAAAAGCAAGAGGAAAATGAGGGTGAATGTTGAACTAAGTGAGGCAACTTCCCATTAGAGCCAATGAAGATCATTGAGAGCAAAGAGGAATGCTTCTTGAGATTCAGATGAGTATTTGGGCCAGAAGATGACAGGAGGCCGCATCTGGGGGGGTTGGCGTCAGGATTTTCGGCCCATGAGAACTTCCCTTTTCACCTTGAGGGCCGCACAGCTCAGCCAAGAACGGGAACTCGGCATGTCTGACACCATCCCCCAGGTGTTGCTGACAGGATCGTAGCACTCTATGGTGTCGTGGTAACTGTCCCACCCTTCCTCTCCACCCAGCACATACACTTTGTCATTTAGCACAGCCACACCTGATGAACGGAATCACCTTGAGTAATAGTATAAGTTAAAGCTGGACAACAAAGCATGAATCTAAACCTTAAAATTTTGTGACTTGAAAAAAGTTACACTAACCAGGTCGGTAACGATGTTCTATCATGGGAGCTCTGAACTCCCACCGGTTGCTCTTGATGTCATAGCATTCTACCTTGTTTGTATTCTCAGTGGATGCATGCCAGCCTCCTATATCATACCAAAGAACTCCATGTCAGAAGTCATAATTAACCCTTTCCACTCCTTTGTTAAACCAGGTTTGCCATTGGTTGCATTATGTAAAAATGGACTGGAAAAGGTCCAAAAGGCTCAATCTTCCAGCAATATCAACAAGAATATTTCAAGCTTCATACAGTATTAGGCATACAGGAAAACCTCATTAATTTGATACTGGTACTTTGAAGGCACATTCTCTGTTTGAGAGAATAGCATCTATTTGCCTTTTAATGTGGATGATTCGATTCCCAGCTTATTTGAAATTCAAAGGCATTTTCTGATCTTGAGCTATAAACTCAAAGAAACATGTTTCTTTCCTTTGAAGGGCATTATCCCCTCCCACCAACAGATGACCTATTATCCCAAACCTCATATTCCAATTGGCTGCAAGGCCAACTAATTGCTTTCTTGGAAACACCCTTTTTCATTCAGAAGAATTCTAAACATAGATTAACACCCCCTCCCACTAACATATCATATAACCTTCAGTCAAAAACCTCACTTTATCATTGCATTTAGAACCTATTCATTTCAAAGTTAGCATTTTTTGGTCCCCTGAATTTCAAATTGATGAGCTTTTCCCTAAACAAGGCCAAGATCAACATCAATATATTTTTCTCATTTTTCATTCATTTATTCTATCACTTTGGCCTGTTTTTCATATTTTCATATTCTTTCCTTTATACCATAAGTGGGGGTTCTCACCAATTACATATATCTTCTGCTGAAGGACACAGGCCACAGCTCCACTACGTGGGATAAGCATCTGGGCCAGCTCTGTCCAGGTGTTAGTCTTGGGATCATACCGTTGCACCTTGTCAATCCCATCCCCATCTTCCAACACTGCTCCTCCTACAAGCAACCAACAATGGTAAATTAATGCCATGAGAAAACACAAAAGGTACAGGGTTCCCATAAAAGAACTTAGGAGGGAAAGTTGCATCAATGTCCCATGACTTCATGGAGTCATTTTGATAGCCTAAATATGGGTCATAGAGTCTCTCTATCATGTTGCCCAGATGAGAGATGAGATGTCACAGGCATCTATATACTTGGGCTTTGAGATACAAGATGGCTCCATGCAATCACAGGCAGAAGGGTGCCTTTCCTCTACAGTGCATCTGTATTGACTTTTACTCACCTACCTCCAACTCTGGCACCACTGACAATGGTGTTCAAGAGACACTTAGTAATTGTAATAAATGGTGAAGAGACATTATGATGAGCCCTAGGAACAACATCCCTGCCTAACTAAGGCAACTGCTACTTCAAAACTCATAAGAGCTCATAAGTATGGAGAACACATAAATAGAAGTAAAAAAAAGTCAATCTGAAAACACTGTAATGTCATAAATGGAGCCTCTTAGGTTCCAATAAGATCTGGACTTATACCAGCAACATAGAGGTAGCCATTGTGAGAGACTACAGCAGGAGAGGTGACAGCCAACTTCATCGGTGCAATGAAGGACCAAGTGTTGGTGGCTGGGTCATAACACTCAGCAGTTTCAAGCCGTGTGGACCCTTCCCAACCCCCAACTGCATACACCATTCCATCTACCATGACAAGGCCTGTAAAGAAGGTTTATAGGAAACCAGTAAATGAAATGCATAAACTTATACTTGCTTACACTCGAGCACCAAAAGCTTCACAAAATGCCTAGCACATGGTACATAAATAGTGAAAGCAAGAGGTTCCAAGCTGCTAGGAGTGCATAACAAGTCTGAAGGGGCTTCTTCCCTGGATGATTCCATTGATTGCCTCTGCTCACTTTAGCAAAGGGGAAAATTATAAACACCAGCCAAGTCAGGATCTGCGATTGCCTGGGCCAAGGAGTATCTCATATTTTAGCACATACCAGGTTCTTTAGAGATAAATTAAGCTTCAATGTCATGGAAGCATGTCTCATTGCTGGTGGTGAAAAAGTTGAAAGAAACTTCATCAGCTAGGAAAGTGTTAGCCAAGATTCCCAAAATGGGAAAAAATGCAACAACAAGGCTAATGACAGGGTGGATTTTTGAACAGAGAAATATCCAATAATGCAGCTTTATTCTAGGGAAAATACATGATATTTTCTTTTTCGCCTGAACACCATAATGACCAAGCGCAAAACTGACTAATATTGTCCATGGGGGCTTTGTGATGCAGCCATTGTTTCAAGGGTCCCAGACATAGCTCCCATCAGGGTGGCCAGGGGCCTATTTAATGGAATTTACAAGTTCTACAAGTTACAAGTAAATACAAGGGTCGTGTCATAGTCGTGCAAAGGGCCAGCAGAACCAGCTGGAAGAGTTAAACAAGAAGACACAACCTTTGCAAGTACTTGTAACTTGTAGGACTTGTAAATTCCATGAAATGGGCCCCAGGTGGTCTTGCCATTCTGAGCAGCACTGCAGGAGAGTAGGGAATATGAAACATTATGCAATGCAAATGTTATTCATTTTGAGGGAGGTGCAGAGTATTTTGCTGCTAGTGCCTAGCATTCTGCAAGGCATGTGAAACTCACTGAAAAGCACTGCAAATGTTTTTCTTTGACAACCCTTGGAAAGTTGATATTTGAACAAGACTGCATTTTACCACCTTCCTCAATTCAATTAGGAAAAGTGAATTATAAAATAGTCTAAAATTTGCAAAAATTCCTAGTTTTTAAAGGACATAATCATATACTGATTTATTACATTCTCATCTTAGAGAAATGCAAATTCAAACAACCATATTCAGATAATGCTGAAAACCTTGAATATTGTTTTTTCTTTCCTGGATGTTTAAAAATTATGGCTATATGGCATCACATATCCACTACCCAGAAAGGATAAGGTATATCTTATTTCTACTGAATGTTTAGTTTCAAAGTATAGACATGCTGAAAGCTCTTGGCAGAGGTAAAAAAAAGAAAACAAATCTGTTCTCAAGAATCTCATTATGGTTCAGCAGTCTGCAAATGTGGTGTCTTTACTGGGATGTAAAGGCCATTACAGCAAACTTAACCAAATGTTGAGCAGGAGCCAGTAACCACTCTTCCCACAAGTGGCAGAAATGGTTAAAGGTTAGACTGAGAATGATTGATGATGATAGTACAGGCGTGCTTCAGCATCCAAGAATTCACGAGATAATATATACTAGTTCTGTTATTCAGTACATATTTGACCACTTTAATTCAAGTTCTAGTTTCAAAGTTTGAGGCTATTCTCAATCTTGCAGTAGATAACCAAGATTAAGGGGGGAAAAGTAAAGTTTTTCAGTTTTAACCAGCAAAAACCAATGGAGGAACTTCCATGTCTCATGACCAATTGCCAAAGTAACACACACTAATGTGGATTTGTTCTTCCTCAAACTACACGGCCATATTCATAGATGTGAACACACTGCAAGAATCACTCATTACCTGAAACAGAAAAGGGCAGAATAAGATAGTGCAAATATACTTGAAACTGCAACATTTTCCTCTTCCCTCCAATATGCATGGAATTTGTGAATGGGCAGGGGGGAGCTTTAGAACTTATTCACTAGGTCTTGTGTCACTTCATGACAAAGAGAATTCCTCAGGTTGATCTCTCACCACTGACACTTGCCAGACATTATCAGGCCTAAAATTTAAAACTATCAATAACATGCTCACCGAGTTCTGAGCGGGGGACATTCATATCAGCCAGTTGCATCCACCCATCAAATACGGGGTCATACTTCCACATTCCAGCTGATGCCCGTCCATCAGGAGACTCACCTCCAGCCAGATACAAAATGTTGCTTCCAGACACAACCATTCCATGCTTGCTGCAACAGTCATCACCTACCCCTATAACTTTAAAGCAATAATGCATGCAGAACATGATGAAGAAGGGTAATATACCTGATTGCAAATGGAAGACAAGCCAATGTGTGCCAGCCACAATTTACTGGGTCAAACGATTCCACTGACCGCAACACAACTTTGTCATCTTCACCTCCCACTGCCACAATGACCTAATCAATAAGCTACATAATATTACCTTTCCTCCTTTAAATCATCAATGAAGGTAATGTGATCATACATCCACAATGCCTGAACTGAGCCTAGGTTTGGTGCGTGCTGTTGCCAACTCATGGCGTCGGTCAGGCAAGAGATGATAAAGCTTGGCCTCTTCAACTAGCTGCTGACACTCAGATGACTGCTGGATGACATCCAGGCTCTCCACACAATCATGAAGGAAATAGGGATTGAGAAGTGGCAAGCGAACATGTTCAAGCACCTTCAGGAAAACAAACAGATAATGATCCATCAACTTACAGGTTTCAAACAACTCAATTAAAAATTATCCCAACTGAAGACACAAAAAAAGACATGGCAAAAGCATGACTTTCTGCAAAGAAGACCCACTAAGTAAATCACATTACTACATGTAAAGATGTAGTGGGATGTTCTGACCTTGCCAAATTGATCTTTCCGTGAGTCTCTATGATGTTCCAGCCACTTGAGGACAGCCTGGAAGACACATTTCTCATCAGATACAGCCAGGTCATCACTACTGATGAATTCAATCAGCTTGCTTGTGCTGAGGGTTGCAAACTCATCATGCTGCACCACCTCCTTGAAATGTCTAGAAGAGAGATTCAGATGTTAGACATCAGTAATGATAGTTTCCACTGACTTAAAGACTGATGATGCTCACTCCAGAGTGTAGTCTTTCGCCTCTTTCTGCAGAAATGTGCAAGCATGGGTTTCAGCAAAGCAATGGATTCCAACACAGTTGTTGGCATCCATGTGCTTGTGAAGGAACTGGCAACAGGCATCCCTTACAGGAAGGATCTCAAGAAGGTTGGCTGCTGAGAGCAGGCTCAGGACATTGCTCTTAGTGATAGTAATCTCACTAGTGTATGCATAATTTAAAAGAAGTTCCATCACAGGTGCTTCAATCCCATTCAAGGGGACCTGGGACTCCATGGCCTCACACATGCTTCCAGTGAACATGGCCTGACAAAAACAGGATAAAATGGTAACAGTTTCAAGATCACTAGTGAAATCTATTATGCATTGACTTAGATTAATCTTAGACTTAACATTTTTACTTAAAGAAATTTATTTCAAGATTGGCACCTAAGGTAACTGACAACTAAAAGAAATTGATGGTCCTGATTTTATTCAAAACTGGCTTACTTTCCTTTAATTTTATGACATAATTCAGACTGACTCAATAGGGAAGAGATACATACCTTGAAATAAGGACTAAAGGAGGAAAGTATAACTTTATGAGCAGGGAAGAATCGCCCCTCAACATTCAGGGAAACATCACAGAAGTGGTTTGTCTTACGGAGATCATTCAGTCCAGTGAGCACCTATAAAATGCAATTAGTCCACTCACTAAATTTACTTCATGTCACCCATGAAAACAGAAATGGATTCAGACCTGGATGGGATGAGAGGATTCAATCACTTTGTATTCATCTGGAAAGGGCTCCTCAGCCTCAGCATGATCTTGCATGAGGTCAATGGTTGATGAGGAGACATTGGTTGCTTCCTCCTCAGAATCCAGCTCAATGCGTAGTGGGATACGTCTATTGTGCCTATGCACCAACAAAGTTCCCTCACCAAAGGGAAAAATCACACGACGCCCTTCCCTCAAAAGTGTAATCCCTCCCACATTCATGGTGCTCAAGGGAACTGCATATGAAGAAATTTCTCCTTACTCATGAGAAATGTTCACTCATACCAGAGAATTCACACCTAAGGTAGAAATCAACAACCAGCATGGGCCTGGGTATGCATACTCAAGTACAATAGTAAATCAAAGAAGTTGCATTAGAAATGACTTGTAGAGGTGTTCTGCTCTAATCTCCACAATAAAGGAGGAGAACACAAAAGTGTGCTCTTGAGCATGATACCATAGTGCTTGAACTGTAGATGCAGAAAGAACTAATATACACATCAGATTACTCCAGCTCTTATTTTCTCTTCATGAGAGTAAGAGACATAGACCAATATCTCAGGTGATGGATTACTTCTTGTAGCCACGGCTGGAGCGGCGCCCTCGTGCACGCTCAAACTTCCTTCCCTTGGAGCGAATGTAAGGCTTCGTGTGAGAATGCGGCACTCCTGGTGCTAGGCCAAAGTGTCTGCATGCTTCACGAGCCTTCCGTGGACCTACCAATCAATTACATGAAAGTAGCCTCAGTTAAATTCAGTACATCCCTCTTTCAGCTCTCATATCTATACTGTACTCAGTCAATATCATAATCAAGTCTTGTACTTAGAGATTTAGGCTCACACTTACCTTGCATTAGCACAGTGTTCTTTCCACGAGGACTACGAACTGCCAACTCATCAAATGTTAGAATCTGTCCTCCTGCTTTCAGAATCCTGGCCCTGGCCCTTTCAGTCACCCTCAAAGCACACACCTGCAATAAATAAAGCACTATTTATGTCTCCCTAACTTGCAAAATGTGATGCAATGAGCAACAGATCACAAAAGGACAAACTGTGAGTTTTGGGACTTCATAGAGACGAACATCATCAGTCACTGCTCCAACAACAACAGCGATCTTATTATCTCGACCAGGCTTCTTCATGAATTGAACCACTCTGGTCAAGGACAAAGGTGGCCGATTTGTCTTCGACATGTACAGCCGCTTCAGAATGATCTTGTTGAACTTGGCTGTAGTACGGCGTACCAAGTAACGATAGAGCTACAAGACAAACCATAAATGAACATGAATAAGCAAGGCAGAAAACAGGTAACCCATTGAATATGGAGTACCCTTAAATGGAGTGACTCGAGGCCAATCTTACATCACAAGCAATGGCTACACCCTATTTTCATTTTTATACTACTGTATGAGATTACATATTAGCAGAAAAAATCAATGGGCCAAAAGACAAAAAAAAGTTAAGGACCAGCCATTGCATGCAACAGAAGTTTTGCTTTGTTTTTGAACCCCACTGCCTCTAAAGTTATTCTATTCTTGGGAGTTCTTCAGTTGTTAGACAGGTGTCCGCTTGGTTTATTTTATGATTGTGGCTTCATGAATAGGAAGCAGTCAAAATGACCCAATAATTAGTAATTGTTAGTTGGCTTATTTTCTGACATTTTTATTGCTACCTCCAGAGAACCAGGCGTGGAAAGGAGATCTCCTCACCACGTAAGGAAATCAGATGTTAAGTTAGGGGCAGTGAACACTTACAGAGATCTGATCCCGGGTTAAATGTGAAGGCCTTGTCTTTAACCGCCTGTGAAATATATACGTATACTCTAAGGCGTTCGGAAACTGGCAGACCCAATAAGTCAGGCATAGGCCTAGTTTCAAATCTAGAATACCAGAAAAAATTCCTCAGCCAAACCATAAGCTCATTGTAATTGGAGCGTCTCTGAGAGATCAAAATCTCAAAAACCCACTTTGACGAGGAGACGAATATAGATATCCTCCGACTTCGGGGCTCTCCTCTTGGATTTCCGGTCATACTTGTGGATGATGTCGATACCCTATCGGAACAAAGATAAAACAACCCTTTAGCTATCGCTGTGACTTCACGAAAAATAAAAATTTCCTAAGCCAGATTTCGGCATGCTACTCACCATCTTGATTTCCGTCGGAAAGGAAAAACGAGGCTGGCGTTATCTGTAGTATAACAGCGGAAGTGTGAAGCCTTTTGATTGGCCTCAGAGGGAGCGTCATAAGCGCATCGTCTGCTACGTTCTATTTCCCCCCCACACTTCTACTCCAACCCTTTTCAGCCCAATGAGTCAATTGAAATCATTTCCTTTACCTTTTTCCTGAACGCTCCAACCAATGCATTCCTATTGTAGTCGTGAAATCTTGATACCTAGTGCATTTCATGCAGGGGTTGGCACCCTTTGCAAATCACGTTTTATGCTCCTGCCATCTGTAGAAATAATTGTGAACTAAGCTCTCAATACGTGGCTGCTGCTTACATCTATGGGTTGTAAGTTATCTTCATTTATTAGGGTGACCAGATTTTTTTTAGGGAAAAACCAGGACATTTTCATGAAAATGTCCAAATGTTAGTCCTTACAATGTGGAAAGCTGGGACGCCAGAATGGAAAGGAAAATTCAAACTAGAACTTACCGTGAAAAACCGGAACGTCTGGTCACACTATCATAGATATTAGGCAACGGCTTTTTATGCAAATTAGTGCTTAAATTCAGTGGTAAACTTACTTATTCTAAATTCTGGCAGTTCGTTTTGTTACGGTATGTAAAAAAAAAAGTCGGATTTTGCTCCTTATTCAATTATTATTATTCAATTGTTTTCCAATACAATATTTGCTCTCTGTGATCACACCGGATCAGATATTGATCACCATGGAGATGTGTTTCTAAGTATTTAAGACTTTTCTGGAAATGCTTAACTCAGAGGTTCTCAAACTGGTGAGCGCGACCCCAAAGGAGACACGACAGGCCCAGCAAACAATTTAAAACGCTTAACATTGCATCAACGTTGAATTAGCATTAAATAAAATGCTCGAATCGTTAATACAACATTGGTCCAACGTAGCCTTGTTTGCTGGGAGGGCCTGGACCTTTAGTTATTTGGTTTCTTGTTGGTGCACCGGTTTCCCATAAAGAACTGTTTGAAAGGATAGGCTTCAAAGAGTTTGGTTCGCCTAGAATATTTAATGATCTCATTCTCACGCGAGGGAATTCTCAGGCAACCTTTTCTATATTAATAAATTTCCTGCCTTTCTAAGGGATTCTATTGAAGATAAACATCAGCAAAAATATATTCTCCCATTCGCCTCATTTAAGCAGTGCGAAACCGAGTTGTCTGCCGGAGCTGCAATGAAGATGAAACTTCGATGCCGTCTGGATGTTGAGAATGAGCTCTGCGTTGCTATTTCCACCATGAAACCTTGATTTAATCTTTTTTTAATGCACAGTTCAGTCTCATCGTCATTAAATGGTGACTGATCATCCACTGGCAGGCTGTGGCCCAGTGCACGAATCACAGCGATCCTTTTTGTTCTCATTGTATAGCAAAAGTATTTCCTGAAGGTAAGTTTCATCAAAACATGGCTGCAGGCTTGTGCCTAAGCACTCTTCTCAGGAAGGGAAAGGAGGGAGCGACGTTAAACCAGGGTCGCAAGGGTTGCAGCTTTTTTTCACTTCTGATTGAAGTTTAAAAAAAAAAAAGAGAAAATCACTGAAGACCCTTTTCGAGGGTGAGGGTGTCACCTCAAGGTTTCCTCATTATTGAGAGGTGGGAGAACCTATGGATTAACAAAATCCCAAATCGTCCATTTGAGTTTCATGGAGGACAGATTGATATATGGAGGAGTATTTAACACCCGGAATATCCTCATGAAATGAATTTTTGTTTTAGTCCTAGTTAAAGTGACCCTGCTTTAACTTCGGATTCATTAACCTATCTTAATTAACGGCACCAATAGCATATGAGCATATTCGAATCCGGTCGATTTTATCAAATGTATCATGACTGATGTGATGGTTTCTCCCATTTCCTGTAAGACTTCTTGAGCAAACAGCTGGGGGAGGGGGGACCAAGGGCCGGATTAATGACTTGGAGGTCTGGATAAAGTATGTGCGAAGGTCCATCTACGTCGCTTCCCCACCCCCCACCCTCCCTCTACTCCCTCTCCACCCTTTTTCAGGTCATTGGCTCATGAACTATCTTGGAGGTGTGGAGTAGCTTTTATGCACGAGAAAGTCCCGAAGAGTGTATTCAATACATAAATCTACGTCGGCCTCGTTTGATTTTTAATCAGGAGCGTATTTCAATGTGAGAATCCTAATGAGAGTCATTTTTGTATCGGCTATCATCGGTTAAGCCAGGGGTTCTTAACCTTTTTGCACCTACGTACCCACCAGATCCTCAAGTATTACCCATGGACCCCCCACCCCCAGTTATCAGAAACTTTGAAACACCTGGATTTGTGATTATAAATGATGTTTTTCGGGAGCTACCTTCAATTATGTATTTCATTTTCCATGGACCCCAGGTTAAGAACCCCTGGGTTAAGCCGAACCAGGACCAGGGGTGTTGTTTGAAATCCCTTATGAATTACAGCCTGTTTCCGGGATTTTAACCCTTCAATGCATGATTTTTTATTTTTCAGCGGGAAAAATCTGGTAGGTTTAACGTACAGTAGGTCCTAGAACACGGGAAAAGTGGAAAAAAAAAATCATTCCTCAATTTTGTAAGTAGTTGGCCAGAAAATGTTATAGTTACACATTTGCTAATGTGACGGTCTTGACGGTTTGTTTCAGTCAGACTACCCCCCAGAGTGCAGGACGTCGTAGTACTGGTTCGATCCGTTCACCAGTCCGCAGACCGGATGCCGACGCACGGATTAATTGCAGCCGTACTGTAGGCTGTAGGGTTGGGGTGAATTCAGAAAAACCCGCGAGGTCGGATAAGTTACCTCAAATAATCTTTAATGTAAGCCCAACGTACGGATTTCAACAACACAACATAGTGTGTCAACCAGACCAATCAGGGCAATCCGGCCCTCCGTAATACAAGGAATGTTACCGCCTACGAAACAGGATCAGGCACCAGCATACAGACAAATACCTAGGTACAATGGAGATCGTCTACACCCGAAAGCAATAAAAAGGGGACAGGGGCAGTACCCATGCAGGAGGCAAAAGTCTACGTAGCCCTTAAACTTCGGTGGAGTTCCCACTGTTATGGATTTGGCGGACTGTCTAGATGGGGGGTCAGTAGGGCCGCTTATACGAGCTTGTGAGAGACGCGACCGCGAGAAAAGACGGTGATTCGCCACAAGGGGAGCGAAGATAGTGAATCTCCCCTTCGCTTGCAAATGCAATCAGACTTTTCGGTCACGGCTAGTCAGGCTCAAGCTTTACCTCCTTAGGTGGTGCGCACTATTCTTTAGTGATTTATTCCTAAACAACTCCTTTCAAGGTACAGTGGAGGACATTTCCGAATACAGATATGGGAATGGTACGGGTGGAATCATCCCACTCTCCGAACATCAGTTATGGGCATAGAAACAGTGACCTGTCTTACTGGAATGGATTACTCGGCACAAGAGGCGCCATCTCGCGTCAACCAAGGAAAGACACATTCTTTGACCTAGGCTGAGTACAATTTATATACAATTGGACGACAATCTTATCCACTTTGTACAGATCGTGACACTACAAACAACATTTTCAGCTTTCTAACCCACGTTTGCATGGAGGCTAGAGAGCTCTGTCAGTGTCAACATTCGTACATACCCCAATGCAAAAGAAAATATAAAATACGGATGAACCTGGACCATGGATTAGCGTAAATTTGAAAATAATTGCAACTACATCAGTCTGTCACACGACGAAGCTGTGTTTTTAATTTGCTCGCCACCAGGCGTGTAGGGCACCTAGCGACCGCTGGGGTACTACCCAAGTAGCGCAAAAGTAGTGGGCTATAAGCGGCCCAGGCACTAAACTGGCGGATTTCTGCCGGGGAGGAAGCGTGGAGGCCAGGGAGACATGCAGTTGCTGGCCCACTACCTATTGTGGGTGGAGGGCCACTAACTCTTTTTCCATAATGTAGCTGGCATTCTCCCAGATGCAGTACCACGAATCCCCACTAGATGGTACCCCCGTTCCCTGCACACTATTAATGCTATGAAGTACCTGCCTTCCTGATTTAGCAAAAATGTTTCTTCCTCGTTTTTCCTCTTTTTAATGTGCAATTTATA